AAAGAGATCGTAGAGGATTTCAGAAAAGATATTCCATGCTCCTGGATAGGAAGAACCAACATTGTGAAGATGGCCATACTCCCAAAATTGCTGTACAGATGTAATGCAATCCCTATCAGACTACCACCGAAATACCTTACAGAGGTAGAGAAATCATTCCCAAAATTTATCTGGAACCAGAAAAGATCTAGAATAGCAAAGGCAGTCCTGGGCAATGAAGACAAGGCAGGATGCATTATAATTCCTGACTTGATGTTATACTACAAGGCTACTGTGTTAAAATCAGCATGGTACTGGCAACAAAATAGGTTCTGTTATGTCCTGAGTCCTCACTGACCTTGAAGTGCTAGGGCCAAAATATTGGCTATCCTTGTAGCCCTTCTTTTTCTCTAATTTTTGATCTGCAAACTTAAGTTGTTAATTCACCAGAAGAGAAGCTTAATGATATTATTACCCCATAACATAGGCATTTGAGCTTAGCATCACTGCCTGTCTTAATATCAGATGCCTTAGACATAATATGGAACAGGTATTTTTGTGCACAGAGGATAGCAATGTGTAATGCTAAGGTCATGTTTGGAATGCCTGTCATTCTGGTCTTCTAAATGTGTACTGCTTCTAATGTCTTATCACTTATTGCCATACTCTCTCAAATAAATGTTTTTTTTTAAAAATATAATAAAAGAAAACTAAAGACAAAAAATGTAATAAGACTGTCCTGCTACAATGTTGTATATGGTCAGATTTATAAATTTCTGTATAAAAATGTGTAATTGTTTATTTTTATTTTATTTTATTATTTTTTATTTTTTATTTTTATTTCTTTACATCCAAAGGGATTTAAAGTCTAGCATATCAATGATTGTTGGAAAATACCTGTTCCATGTACTAATATTGTTTAGATAAGATATCATGTCTGGGGCTGAGGAGATAGCTCAGTAAGAAAAGTGCTTGCCTGGCAAACGCAGGGTCCTGAGTTCAATCCCTGGTACCAGAAAAAAAAAAGATATCATGTCTGTATCTTGTCCTCTGAATAACTATTAGGAAGACAATATGGAATGTATAAATTGTAACTGTTCTACTAACCTGTTTTGAAACTGTTTCATTGCTATTTTATCTTTTTTTCTCATTAAGTGAATAAAAATTTTTGAAATTTTTTAAAAATTAAGATTGTAGTTGATTAACTAATGGGCAATTTATAACACACAGCAGAATTGAATCAGCATGGTCCCAGGTATGGAAAGCCCACCTGAGGATTGTTGCCAACAGCATGAAAGCAAAACTAGTAAGGAAGATAATGTTCTGTTTATTCCCCTGGAGAAAGTTGTCCTTGTAGTTGTCCTGGTAGAAACTCAGCTGTTCTCATCAGAGGAACTCATGATCTTGCTGTTTCTGAAGATGGCTGCAGTTCTTTTCACAGAAGCTCTGGTCCTTACTTTGAGCATCATGTCCTAGCTCTGGTGCAGATCCCCCAGCCCACTGGCACAGATCCTTCATTCCGATGGTGCTGACTTTCTAGCTTCCATCACTTACCTTTGGGCCTCCCCAGGGCAGATCCTTGATACCAGTTCCAATGAGGCATTGTGGCGGGCTCTACGCCTCCTGCTGGACTCATGGGGCATTGTTATGCTCCAGGTCTTCAGCTGGACGCTGCTGTACGATCTAGGCCTCAGCTGGATCCTTTGGGTCTCTAGTAATAGACAGACCTCCTGTATTCTTGCATTTAAATTTTTGGGTGAATATTGTAAAATAATTCTATAAATCACATGCCCTGTACTAAATTATTTATCTTGTAAACCCTGACAACACTAAAGATCAATGTAAGATACACCATAATATAGGTACAAATTCCCTATGATGAATGTGATCATTGTATATACATAAAATGTAAAAATAAATTTAATTTTAAAAATGAAAATCAATGTCTTTCAAAAATAAAGCAGGATCTTTTTAAAAAGGTAAAAATCACAATCTATGCTAAGAAAATCTTTCCATATATACACAAGTACTTAAAAACTAATCCAAGATGAAAGAAAGATAAATTATTTTTTCTAAACAGCAACATCTTAAGTTTATTTTTTCTTCAAGTCAAGCAAGTAGAATATGTTAAAATCAAATGACGAAAATGAGTGAGTATTTAAAAGTGAAGTTAAAAATTAAATTTCAAAACTCATGTGTTCTGATGTGCAATTTAAGGTTAGAAATATTCTAATTCTGATGTTGATTATTTATCCCATGGTCCAGAGTCCTTCAAAAATGACTCAGCGAAAACTGGCGTTGGCGGCAAATTGTCTACAGTCTCGGTACTACCAGAGGCTGAGGCAAGAAGACTGCAACTTAGTGAGACTCTGCTTTAAAAAATAAAAATTATAAAGGGCTAGGAAGGCAAATCAGTGAGAAAATTCTGGGTTCAAGCTCCAGTGCTACAAAAGAAATTTTTTTTTCAAAGAAAAAAGCCACTATAGGGGAAAATGAAACTCCCATCCCTTGCACCCTGCCAGTTAACTTTTCCACACTGAAATTCTTGAAGCACAGATTGTACTAACGTTTTTCATTTTTCATACAAGGAAGATAGGAATGCTTATTTGAAAGAATTGTGGTTGTTGCACACAAGTGCTCTGCAGAATTCTAGTTCTTTAAGAGCCAGCCTCATCCTTTGCATTGTTTTGTTGTTTTTTTTTTGTTTTTTTTCTTTTCAAAGTTTTATTGATAAACATATAGCAATGAGACAGTTTCAAATCAAATCGGAAGTACAGTTTCAACAAATAATACACTGCATATATTCTTCTTAGTGGTTAATTGCTGTACAAGATGCAGACTTGTGATCCTACTTACAAACACCATTAGAACAAATCATTCTATTCATTAAGAGAATGCAACTATATATCTATCCCAACCACTTTGAATACACAGATACAAAATGGACATTCATCGGTGTACCCCATTTTTTCTAAGTTCCGCTATTGAATATTATAGGTGTGTAAACTCAGCAAAATATGCTAAGAGTCCAGGAGCCCATAATAGCATTGGGTCTTCTGTTTAACTAGCAATGTCAGAAATTATTGACCTGAGTCCCCCACAGCTCAACATAACAACATGGCTTTACTTCCTATATTTCGTCTTCATACTTTTCTACTGGATGGTTAAGACCAAGGTAAAGCAGGACCTGTGCAACAAGAGTTGTAGCTTTTTGGTCTGAGAAGGTCAGTGAAATGCCCTCAGGATTTATCCTGAGATCCTGTACCTCAGATTGTAGAACCTTTATCAGCATTGTTGATCGGAGTGATAGCTACTACCCAGCACTCCCCAGTCTCAGCCAGAGCATGAGCAGGGGTTTACACTCGCCACACAGTTGCCATAGGGGTGGTTAAACTCCAGATCAAAAGCAAAACTCCTTAGGACCACAAGGACCACATGTCAAAGTGTGTCTGGGTTATAAACCCAGGCCTTTCAGAGAACATGAAATTAACTTTTAAAATAAGTAAATAAGCAACAAAAAGAACAGACCCTAAGAATACTGATAGCATACTCATGGCAGAATACTGACTTTTTGTGAGCTTATGTTTCTGTTTATTTTCTTCAGCTTAATTAAGAATGAAGAAAAGAATCTTGGAAAGGGAAAGCAACAGAGTGAATGAAATTCATCTGTGTAATTCATATATTTCAAAACAGAAAAACAAGATATCAAAGAATGCAGAGACAGTAACACCAAAAGGGGTAAGACACAAAAATAATAAATCACTGTGTTTAGTTGTAATTTCTCTCTCTTTTGTTAATCTTTCTAAAACTGAGACAATGATGTTAAAGACAGCACTGTGTAGCAGCACAACCACCCGCAGGTGTGCAATCCAGAGGGTTCCTCTGCTGGACGAAGGGGCCCCCACGGGAGGGGCTGAGACTTCCCAGCAGCAGAAAAGCAGAGGAGCTGCCGAGGCAGAAGGACTCCGTGGCTGAAGGCATGCAGTTCTGCTAGGATTCCACCTGCGGAGAAGCCCTTTGGACAGCAGCTCTAGTCTGATGCCTCTTATTAATGATTACTCAAGCCTGGAAGTAGCCAAACCTCTGGCATCTGCTGGCAAGAAGGTGAGGGGAACAAGCTGGAAGAAACACAGGATCCTACTGGAAGTCCTTCCTCAGACACTGAGTGGGTGAGTGACTTATCCCAATAATACAAAGACCTCCGAGGGTACTTTCTGTGGAGTAGCAGATAGATTTTATAGACTCCTGTTTGAAGCCTAACTTTCTCACATTGATAAAAATGATTAAAATGTGAATGAGATTGCAAAAGCCCAAGTCAACAAGGGTGACGAAAGAAAATGGGCAGCCTGAAGCTAGGCATTTGTATCCTAGTCTTTCTGAATACTGACAACAACTAGTGGAGGCCATACCACCCAGGGAAGGATTTCTAAGAAGGAGGCACTGTAGGAGTATTTTTAAAAATTTAGGGAATCAAATTGGCTTGTGAAAAAAATATGATTTCATTTATTTCCCAACTGAATAACCTGAAAGAAGAACTCAGTAATATCTTTATTTGGAGTTAATGTAGGCTGCCTGGCTTGGTAGGTTTGCAGGGACTGTAACTATTGTAACATGCCAACAGCTGATGGGGCACTCCAGGGGCTGTAGGACAGTGGTGAGGAAACACCTGGATTAGAAAGGATCATCAGCCACAGCTGCGTCTCTGGGTGGAGATTCACTACGCCACTAGAAGACTGTACTGGATTCCTCCTGGACAGATCTACTACAGCAACCTGGTTAGGGCCATTGCCCTAGATCCCCAACCACACTGACCAGTGGGCAGGGCTTTGGCACAAGGCAAGGCAAGTGTGGCTGTCCTCCAAGGCAGCATCTAGAAAAAGAAACTGGAGCCAAGAACTAGTGGGATGGGGAAGAGATTGAGCCATATCAAAATGGCTACAGATAGGAGAAGTAAGGGAATTCAGCAGTGGCCAGGGCCACCAGAAGACAACAGGCTGAGAGCAGAGGGTAGAAAGCTGTACTCAGGGAGAGACCTCAGTGCTGGAACATGGAAGGGGCAACCTCCACCAACCTCCACTTTTGCCCACCCCCACTCACTGTAGGACTGGAAAAAAAATTAAGTGTAGGCTAGACAAGCAGTCTATTACATTCTCAGCCAAAAGGCCCAACTTTTTGACTGCACTTGTAACCTCATAGCTGTATTTTTAAAAATGCTAGCTTCTTTATGAACATTGCATTGAGCCAAAAACTTCTTGGGGTGGTCCATAGAGTCTCTCAACTAAACTAGAGCAGTTTCCTGGACTAATGGTGGAACAAAGTGAAAGAGGAGGTTTTTAAAAAAGGAAGGGAAGGAGTTGCTCAGGGTAGAGCCAAGGAAAAAGGAAAGTCATCAGTCTGATTGGAAAGGCACCGTAAGAGATGTGGAGACCGTGTATCCCGTGTGTGGCACTTGAGCTTGTCTGTTCATGGCTTCAGCAGAAGATGGTCTGAAATTGCCTTCTGGATTACCTCCCTTTCCTCTAATCACAAATCCAACATTGGGCTGTGGGGAGGGTCACCAGTGCATGGAATCCAGAGTATCAAGGCCATGCGATGCTTTTAGGTTAATGTGGCAGGAGGTGCCCATCACAGGGAGGTGAGTGGGGCAAATCTGCTGGCAGAAAAAGGTGGAATAAATCAGTTCCCTTGGAGTAAACAGGTGCTGGTGTGCGGGGCTTGGGATGTCTGTGTACAGGAAGTAGTTACCACCTAAGGCCTTGGGCAGCTCTGAAGGCTACTTTTACAAAGCAGGAGACAAATGGGAAGCTCAGCGGGGCAGTCAGGCTGCAGGCTCACATGCGCCAATGGGCGATCACGCTGGTGCATGGAGGCCCTGGCAGCAGAGAGGCAGGGCTGGTGAGGGGACTATTGCCTCAGGGCTCCTGTGCCTACAATGGGAAGTCAGATCTTACCAGAGAAAGCAAGTAGGAGGTGCTTCAGAGCTCTCACGCCTGGAAAGCGTCCATTACCATGTTACTGCCATCTGCTGCAGATAATAATAATATCAAGAAGTCAGTAATACTGTAGTATTATGTAGTGCAAGTGTAGCCTTTGCCAATATTTTAGCTGTTAAAAAGTACAAAAATAGGCTGAGGCAACAGCTCAGCAGTCTAAGTGCCTGCCTGGCAAGGGCAAGGATCCAGATTTAATTCCCCGTACAGCATGCCGTGCTGGCCCCACGCCAAGCCAGTCACCAGGTGTGGTGGTGCATGCCTGTAATACCAGTACTGGGGACACTGAGACAGGAGGATCAGTATGAATCCGGCCATGCACTGAGACCCTGTACCAAATAAATAAATAAATAAATAAATAAATAAATAAATAATTGAAAAAATCTATCATGAAAAATTTCAAGTTATAAGCATAACATCAATGAATTTCAGGCTGAGGAGAGATATGTCATAGAACACTTTGTTTATCTGCTTATTTATTTGCTCGCTTTAGGATACTTGAGCATGAATTCAGAGCTTTTATACGGAGCCCTTTTTTTAAATTTTGAGAAAGTCTTACTGAATTGTCTGGGCTGGCCTTGAAATTACATTCCTCCTGCTTGCCTCCTAGAGTGTCTGGGATTCCAGAGATGCATGACCTTACTCAGCTATAGCATGCTTTTGTTCGGTGTTTCCACCATATAGATATGAGGGAAGTAGTGTCTAAGACAGAGATTAAGTAAAATGCAGTAAAAAATTATGAAATTATGTTTTCAATTTTTTTTAAAAACAGAGCTTACTAGATTCTTTTTATTTTTCATTTTTGGCAGAACCAGGGATTGAACTCAGGCCCTTGCACTTGCCAGGCAAGTGCTTATTCTACTGAGCCATCTCCCCAGCCCCCTGTTTTTTTTTTTATGGGATTTTAAATTTATATAATTTAGTTAATAATGGCTATTTTCAAATACTATCTTGCAAAATTCATAAGTGAACAATCTCTTGGGCCAGATGTCCTGGCTCCACAACACCGCGGCCACACAGTGTACTATGCTCTCTGAGGGAGCCACACTGAGCTTCTTGCTCAATTTACATCCTGCGAGGCCTTCATCGATGTATGCAGTTGGCTGTCTGATACAATAACATTCCTGGAAATGTATGTTTGCTCATTTCATTTTCTGTTTAGAACTCCCACTTAACCTTTTTCTAGGAAAATCCAGCTACCTTCCCACCCAGAAATGACTGAATCTCATAGATGAAAGAACTAAGGCATTTCGCATAACCTCATTAAAGAGTCAGGCAGGGAAGAACTAAAAATCTGTTCACTGTCGCTTATCTGTGGGACTCAGTGTCTTCAGTTCCCTTTGTGGGCTGCTAAAATGGGGTTTACTAAAGCACATGGACCTTATTTCTGACCTCAGACGCAGCAGCTACAGAGTGACATTTTGATCTCCAAATTGTATTTATATTCTTCCTGCCAGATGCCATATATTTCCCTTTTCTATGATTTAGGGCCAATGGAAAGTGACTTTAAAAATCCCTATTTCTTGAGACTGGGTGTGGTGGCATGCGTCTGTAATCACAGCTCTTGGGAGACTGTAAACAGGCGGATCACTACAAGTCTGATCTAGTAGTGAGACCCTGAACACTCTGTAGATCCTTCCCAAAAATAAATAAAAAAAAAAAAAAAAAATCCCTACTTCCTGTGACTTTCACAAAACAGTATTTACAGCCTTAAACCAAACAGATCACTTTTTTGTACTGAGAATGGAACTCAAGACCTTGTTCTTGGCAGGCAGCTTGTGCCCCTGAGCTTTCACCCAAGCCCTCCAAGCAGACTGTCTTTACAACAGAAGTACTGCTCCCTTCACACCATCATGAGGCCAAGTTGTAAGAGCCTCAGTCAGTTGTCAGGGGCTCACCAAACACTCTGATTGACCCGTCATTGATCTTTCAGTCTCTCCCTCACAGGACCAAGAATCAAGAATGCAGAAGCTGCTGCTTCTGAAATAACTGTAATTCTGGACAACTCTCATTGCTTCTTATTCAGGGGTAATTATGGAGTGGCTTCAGAGCTCAAATCAGACCTCTAGAGTGCTGAGTCCAAGGAGAGCCCCCTGGTAGAGAAGTAGTAAATCCCTCCAGCTGCAGAGGGATGGGCGTGAGAACAATTCTTACTCCAAGGGAAAAACTATGGCAACTACATGTTCCTGTTCAGCATGACCAGGTAGCACTAGAAAGCCAGCGCACAGCGACCTGGCCTGTGCATGGCCATAGCTTTATCATTTGGTCAAACATCTTCCATATAGTCTTTGAGTCTAGAATCAGAGCAGTTTACCAAGAAACAAAACCCCTGTTTTAAAGATGACCTGGCTGCATCATGGAATCAGAAAATGTCAGGATTTAAAGAGTCATTTCTCTTAAAAAGACCCTCTCGTGGCAACTAGGTCTGTTAAAACATACTCAACCTCATTAGAGAAACGCAGCTAAAACCATGACAAACTATGACCGCTTGCCTGTGGAATGTCTACCATTTAAGGCTGATGTTATCAAGTGAGTGAGTACATCAGGATCTGGAAGTTCTTGGATGCAACTGGGGAGAATATAGAATGGCGCAACCAATTTGAAAAACAATTTGTCATTTGCTAGGAAATTAAACAAGCACTTGTTATACAATCCAGACAAGCTATTCCCAGGGACCTACCTAAAGGAAGGAAGGCACTTGTCTGTACATGGACTTGTACCTGAAGTTTCCAAGCAGCTTTATTTGTAAGTGTCAAAACCTGCAGACAATGCCACTTGTCATCAGAAGGCAAAGTGATAATGATCATGCAATGGAATGCTGCACAGCACTGAACATAGATGAGCTGTTCAGATAGACAGCACAGATAATCTCAGAATAACAATGCGAAGTGAAATAAACCAGGAGAAAAGAGAGCACGTGCTACATGTTTCTTCTCCCTATAAGATCTCTAGGAAATATAAGTTAGTCTTCATGACAAAAGCAGGCTGTTAGCTGTCAGGGGTGGGAGAGATGCAGAAAGACGGACAGGAAGGCGTTCTGCAAAGACACAAGGAAACTTTAACAGATTTGTAAATTTAATGAACTGAGTGCTTAACGTAGTGTGAAAATTGGAATTCTGCACATGGCAAGCCTAGGATTCTCCTTGAGCATTAAAGATCTTCTGTTTTTTTGTTTGTTTGTTTGTTTTTTGTGGAACCAGGGATTGAACTCAGGCCCTTGCGCTAAGCGCATATATTCTACTCAGCTGTCTCCCCAAGGATGGGATTTTAGTTCATGGAGAAGGCCCTGGTTTTTATCCCAGTATTGTTTTTTTTATTTTTATTTTTTTTTTGGTGGAACCGGGGATTGAACCCAGATCCTTGTGCTTGCCAGGGAAGCACTTATTCTACTGAGCCATCTTCCCGGCCCCTTTAAAGATCTTAATATTGGTTGGGATTGATATATAGTTGCATTCTCTTAATGAATCGAATGATTTGTTCTAATGGTGTTTGTAAATAGGATCACAAGTCTGCATCTTGTACAGCAATTAACCATTAAGAAGAATATATGCAGTGTATTATTTGTTGAAACTGTACTTCCGATTTGATTTGAAACTGTCTCATTGCTGTTTATCAATAAAACTTTGAAAAAAAAAAGATCTTAATATTGCACAAGGGTAATGTTTCTTTTTCTTAGTTCTCTTATATGCGGAAAGTTCAAGATCTCCATCCTAGCTATTTCTAGATTTCTGTAGTTATATTATCCATCTCTGATCCATAACCATGTGGGATTTATACTACAAATCATCTCATCATGCAAACTTGACCCCCAGCTATCAGCAGGTCAGATGGGAGCCCTCTGGGCAGTAGAAACCAGCTTCTCAGGTACTGAAAGGGGTTACCCAGAAGCACAGCTCTGAAGTGACTCATATCTGTGGTAGCACCAGCGATGATGACAGTGAATAGTTATGTTGCTGTCATTTAATACTTAGCACTGTGCTGGAAGTGTGAGCTCTATTTCAGCCTTACTGCTTTGTGAAGAAGTTCATGTTGTTTTTGCTGTTCACAGCAGAGAAAACTGAAGAATGCAGAATTGTCCCCAGTCATAGTTGGCCTGAGAGGTAAATCATGGGTCTGGATTTGAACTTGGGTGTGCCTGGCTTCAAGGCCTGAGCTGTTGCACTGGCACCAGGGAGCACTCTGCCTCCTGCAGAGCAGGTTTTTCTGAACTTTAGGAACAGTACTCCTGCATGTTGTATGAAAGGAGAGAAGGTTAGGAACAGTACTCCTGCTGTGTTGAGCCAAGTGATGGCACGAGCCACCCAGCCAGGGCCTCAGAGGCAACGGGGCAGATTTTGTTTGCATGGTGCCCACTGTTGAAATGCTTCAAAGGAGTCTTTTGCTTCTGACTGAAATCTGTGGATTGTATATCATCCTGATAGGTGAAAACTGGTGTCAAGAAAGGAAAAACAAAATGGCTGTGATAACAGAGTTGAGTTCCACAGGAGACAACAGAGAGTTCTCCCAAGATTTGCAAATAGATGAGAAGCACATTCCCAGGAAAGGTAAACTTGACTTTATGTGCTTGGTTACAAAATTTTACAGTGATTTTTTTCTATAATAAATTAATACCAAGTAATGAATTTTTAATTTTAAGTTGTTTAATTACTTTTTACAAACTCCATAATATTAATGTAAATATATGAGGAAAATACTACTATTCTAAATCTTTTTGTTTTTGACAGTCACCTCTTAACCTTTAGCCATATGCATTTATATTCTCAACAACTGCTAAAAAGTTGGCAACACGTGGTGGTGTTTTTCTGTATAGTATTTGCATATATTTTAAGTTTAATTGTGTTGCTTAAGCAAAGTAAGAAAAACTAATTATAGAAACTTTCATATTCAGAAATGGAAGATTTCCATAAACTTAATTCAACTATTATAGTTTTTATTGTATTTGATACGTATATTTATATGTTGTATATTTTTTCAACTTGCCACGTGTTTTGCCACGATACTTTAAAAATTAAAAAACGTTCTTGAAATCATATTATATTGCAACATGCCCAACTGTTAAAGTATTATTTACCAAGACTGGGCATGGTGGCGTAAGCCTATAATCCTAGCACTTGGAGAGCTGAAAACAGGAGGACCACTAAGAGTCCGATCTGTGTAGTGAGACCCTGTAGATCCTGTAATAATACATAAAAAAGTATTATTTGCCAGAAAAATACTCCTGTAGCTGGGTATTTAAGTCATGGGCTTTTTATTGTTACTTAATTATTAGTTATATATGAAATATGTATACTAGTTGGCTATTACATGTATATGAAATATGTAAGACAGGTATTATATGATGTATGTTAAAAGAACATTACTTTTTTTTTCCTGAAAACTTTCCTTCACATAACACTTGTACACATTTGAGTTCTTTCTGCAGGATTTAAAATAAAAAATCTGAGACAAAGGTATAAATGTCTTATTTCCAGGTATGAGGTTTGTTTTATAATTTGAACAAAAATAAAACCATGTGAGGATGTGGAGCAAAGGAGGGGATAATTTGATTTGTAGTGGGAGGATACTATAGCTGCTGTTTTAGGAACACAAGGAAGCATGAAACGAACTTGGCTGCAAGAGCAAAATTCCAGACAGGAGATGAGGATAGCTAGAGTCAAGAGAGTAGTGGCCCATGAGCAGTGTTGGGATAAATGTGAATTTTAAATGCAAGGACAATAGAATGTTGCAGAAAGACTAAATGTAAGGTGTGAAAGAAAGAAATCAGGGTTGATTTCAAAATCTTTGAAATATGGGATTTCTATCCAGTAAGCTGGAAAGGAATATGAGTGAAAATCTCTGGGTGGTATTGGTAATCTGTTCATCAGTTTGTTTAATCTGATCTTTTTTGTTGTTGTTAATCAGTTGATTTTTAGTGAAAGAAGAAAATGCTGTAGGATAATCTAGATAATTGTACTGCTGATTTCTGCTGGTCTGTTGAAAGCAGCAGTGAACGCTTAAATTTTTTTCTTTTTCTTATTATTTTTTTCTTTTTAATTTCTTATAATATTTTTGTTGTGGTTTTTTTTTCAACCAATTTTGCCCACTTATAGCTGGCAACCTAAACAACTAATCTGAAGATAACATCATGCAATACAGCAATCACTGTTGAATTTGTATTACTTTGTTTAATGAAATTTTGTATCATTTCTCAAGCTTTTTACTATTTTATAGTCTTTAAAAAATAATAAAAAAGAAAATGTTGTATCTAATCATCAATGACATCTTCAGCTTGATGAAAAACAAGTTTTCTATATTATATCTAGATTTTATTTTAATTTAAAATGAGACACTACTCCAACATTTTTCCATTTATTCAACCAATTTTCACAGCACTACTTAATAGATAAACTAGTTTTGTCCCACTAACGACAGCATCCTCTGTATGCTGCGTAATTCTTTTCCATGTTTCTGCAGCAGTCATTGGATTTTTCTTTTTTTTTTATTATAAACAGGAACACTTTATTTTCCATTCCATTTTTATTGTACCTGGTCTACAAGGATACTGCTCGTTGTCACCCACAACTGAGTAGGATTTTATCCTCTCAATTTGTGACCATACATGTCAATCATATAGAATTGTGCTTCATTTATTTACTAGGTGTTTTTTACTCCAATCAAGTTGACATATAATAATTAATGGTGACAAGTAATTTCTCATGAATCCTTTTTTAGCTTTTATAGTGATTGTTCTAGATTTTACTATTACTATATTACCATTGACTTGTGTCATTCATTTACTTGTTTGAAGTACAGAACAATACCACTTTTTTCTCTATCCACAATTAATTTGCTTTAAATATCTCCTGTACATGCATTAAGAACATTTAACACTTTGTGAAAAATTTTATGTCAGTTGTTTAACATGACTTGGGAACCCTGAGAAATCAATTGAATTTACTCATAGTTTTACTCACTGTGTTATGATTTCTTTTCTGATAATTCCTTTTCTAATTCATTATTTTATTATTTCCCCTTTATTTAGACAAGTTTTGAAAGCTATTTCTTTAGAATAATTCTGGTAGTGACAAAACTTTTCATTTTCCCTTATCAGATTAAGGGGATTTTTTGTTGCTAAGTTATTTTTACCGGATATTGGATTTAAGGATGACAGTTCTATAATTTTACCACTTGAAAAATATTTTGCCATTTCTTTTTGGCCTCTATATTTTATGTTAAAAAAAGTTTATTATTTTCTTTTTCTTCTATAGACAATGTATTATTTGGATTTATCATATTTGGGAATTTCTGGCAATTTGAATGTCTATATTAATATGTTTACCTAATTTAGGAAATTTTTCATTCAGTTTCTCAATGTTTAGGCATGGTAAATCTAGTTTTCTTCTGTGAATTCTCAGCAAATCAAATTATTCATACTTGAATGTTAAATATTTTGCTGTAGTCCCACAGTTCTTGGAGGCTCTATTTTTTTTCCTACATTAGTCTAGTGCCTTTTTCCCCATAACTTTATTGAGAAACAAATAGCAACATTCATTGGATTTTTCTGCTTGTTCTTTTTTCTCTCTATGAAGAGGTTTTATGAATTTATTCTCATAGCAAATTTCAAATCTTTACAATTACATGTCTTCTAATGTTTACCTTGTGTAATTATTACACATTCAAGTAGTCTTTATTACCTTTTGCCACTGGATTCTTTTCTTAACCTTCTAAATATATTATTACAAATACAGTAGCCACAAACAACACACATTTATTACCTCACAATTTCAATGGCTCAGTCTCAGGCACAACTGGGTCTCACTAAGGTCACAGTTGAGTGGTCAGTCATTGCTACAAAAACTCTTTAGTAGCTCCCCACTGCCTGCAAAATATTCAGATTTTATAAGTGTAAATAAAATGTAACTTAGGCCTTGAGGAAGTTGTTTGTTGCTGTAGGTAGTTATTCTACTCATGTCTTCAGGAGTTGAGGATGAACTTTCATTTAAATATTGAGATTAAGCCCTTGTAACAATTGCCACATTAGAGAAATTGATAACTGCCCACTATGAGAAAATATACTTAAAAAACAGAAGATGAAATGAACAAATAATTCATTCAAATAATTTGTATTTTCAGGTCCAAGAAAGATGACAATCTCAAAGTAGAAACTTCATGCTTCCTTTCCAAGATCCTGGCTGCTTTGTCCAAAGAACACAAAACTCAGGAAAATGAGCATTTACAGTTGAAATTAAAGGGTAGAATCATCTAGAAACTGAACATTGCAGAGTATGATCAGATGTGATGAGATTTTGTCGCAGCTCTGAAGGTTAGCCTTCTTCTCAGGCCCTTAGGGGCCCTTCAAGCATTATGCACAGTGGAAGCTATACCTGTGTAACACAGCCAGCAGGGAAAGAGAGGCTGCTGAAGGCTTTTACACAGACCAGAGCAAACACATTCAGCCGGTCAAGATTCCTTTATAAAAAGGACTTTGGACAAACTAGCTTTTTGGAATTCTCTCTACATTATTTACTTTTCTCTTTGTGGAAAGAAAAAGGACATAGATTAGCAAGTTTGAGGCAATACCTTGAGAGAGTGTTGCTCATCACATTCCGAAGTCTGTGCTGGACAGGTGAATCCATTCGGTTCAGGAAATAGCAGGCATCTGGACTGACCCTTCTTCTAAGCCATGCCCTGCAGTCCAAAGTTAATGCTTCCAATCTATTCCTGAACAAATACTTACAGTTCACAGGATGTGTAATAGCAAATACAAGATGCAACTCTGGTTAGTGGAATACACTTTCCAGAAAGGGACACAAAACACAATGTAGAATACCAAATCATAGTAATAAGAGGATGTCAGAACTATGCTGAACATAAGTGAAACAAGGTCAAAGTCCTTCAAGATGTACCAGAGAGTTAACCAGGCAGTTGGTGTGGGGAGAGCACACAGCAGAAAAGAAACAAGCAACAGGAAGGGCTGCAAATAGAGGGAGAGCATTTGGCCTGTTCAACAAGCCAGAGGGATGTGCAGTACAGACACTAGAGTGAGCCAGGGCAGAAACACAATGAAGGAAATGATATATGTAGATACCTATGTATGTATATTTATTTTTAATTTAGATTTCATATTTGTTTCTTGTTTTGTTTTTGGTTTTGGTTTTTTTTTTTTTTACTTGTGAATAATTTCACCAATCCTATAGCACAGTAATCAGGGAAAGGGCAAGGCAGAACCACAGGATGGGAATGGGGGAGATAGCTTAGTGGTCTAAGCGTCTGCCTGGCAAGCACAAGGACCTGGGTTCGATCCCCAGTACTGCATGCCTTGCTGGCCTTTGAAGCAAGGTGTAGTGGTACATGCCTGTAGTCTCAGTGCTGGGGAAATTGAGACAGGAGGATCACCATGAATCCAAGCTGAGTAAGATCCTGCACCAAATAAGTAAATAAATAAATAAATATTTTTAAATAAAAGAATTACAGGATGGACAGAGTGCTCCAGAGTGAGTCAGACTCTGGAAGGCTGTGGTGTAAAATGTCTTTCGTTTCAACTTAGTAATCTTCTCCTTTGACATCTTCTTTTCCTGAAACCAATCAAAGTGCCACTCGAGTCATCCGGTGATGGTCTCCAGTACTTCCTGTATGACAGCTTGTAAAGAATTAAAGTTGGATTAATAAAGAGAACACTTAATATGGTATCATATTTGCAGTCCCAAGCTTTTGTTCTGTTCGCTACGGAATAGCCCTCGTTGCACACCTCTTCAACTTCATGCTGACTGCACAAAATGCCATCCTGACCATCACCATGGTCGCCATGGTCAACAGCACAGAACAGGGCCAGGTCAACAGCTCTGCCGAGGCTCTCCCGGTAGGCTTACCAGACGGCCTAGAGAAAGCCCCACCAAGTCTTCCTGCAAAGGTAAGCAATACTAGATTTAAATTTGGTCCCTTGTTTGTTTGCTACTGATTTGTTTGGATTTTTTTCTTCTTCATCAGTTTCTATGTTTACAATGTTTAATTGAGCCAATACTGATTTTTCCCAAGTAAAAGATCCAAAGAAGCTTCTTGGGATCTAGAAGAGCCTTTCTGTATACAGTTGACTACAGCATTTTTCTGTTTCTCTCAGGCTCCTGTGTATGACTGGAGTCCTCAGACCCAAGGCGTACTCTTCAGTTCCATCAACTATGGCATCCTGCTAACCATGGCCCTGGGGGGATACCTGGCAGGGAGAATGGGAGCGAGGAAAGTAGCTGGTGTTGCTTTGCTAGGATCATCACTTCTCACTCTCTGCATCCCTCCGGCTGCTGATCTTGGACTACCTTTCCTCATTGCCACTCGAATAGTCCAGGGTCTAACCCAGGTAGCCAATACTTTCCAAATTTGCTGAATATGAATTTTTACTTAACAACACATGTCAAGATCTCTAACTATTTTTATTTCAGGGCTCAGGATTTGGGGGTCACTTAGCACTTTGGCAAAATTGGGCTCCTCCACATGAACGAAGCAGACTCTGCAGCATTTCTTTGTCAGGTAAAGATATAATTGTCCTGGGCCCAGGGCAACCCAGCATTCTCCCACTGGGCTCTGTGATAACTCTGCTTTTACATAGTTCTTCATCTTTTGCTCAATATCAATGTAATATTTATTTAAAGTATGGAGACTATCTCTTGTTGGTGACAGGACTTCAAGCTCCTTTCCCTAGTTTGTCATTTATGCATGATCCTATTTATGACTTTTCACATTTTAAGGAAAACTTTAACATAGTTAAGTTGATTGTTGTATAACATCTGAATTATGAGTCAAAGATAGAATAGCTATAATGGCTTTCCTTCTTGTTTTTTTTTTTTCTTGCATTTGTGCAGCTTCACATCTATAATAGCTTCTGTGTGGCACATCGGCATTCATACTACTAGTCAGTTTGATACTCTCTGGAATTGCTCTTGATTATCCTGAGGATTTATTTCCTGACAATTTATCTATCAGTGTAGTGTGTCCAGAACAAACATGCTAAAGGAAGAAGTCTAAATCATACTCAGCGAGGGTAAGAACTGGACAGTATGTGGTTAAGCAACCATAAAGTTAGTGCTAGGAAGACAATGAAGGATGAATTTCTGGGTAACTGGACAGGGACAAGAGAGCCAATGACTCTTCAAACTCAAAATGCAAGCTATACACACTTCTTCCAACAGCAGGCCCATCTAAAGCGTCTCATAATCCTGAGAGGATTAGTCTCTCTTATCAGTGTTTGTGTTCACTGATAAAGGAAGATAGGGTCCAACCTGGACAGTTCAGTTATTACTCTAGGCGGTTATCATAGAATACACTGTAAGAAAAGCCAAACTAGAAAGCACAGAAGGAAAGTTAATAAGTTTTGGAAAGAAGACAGTGACTTTAAAGAAATAGTGATTTCCATTCCTTTCCCTTCTTACTGTATAGAGATTGAACAACCAGAAAAGATCAACTCAATATGTAAAAGAATCTCAGGGGTGTACAGGGGTCTGAGTTTCAAAGGCTTCCTTGTTTTTGGTCAGGGACCTTGTGGAGGGCCACACAAACCTGGCTCAGAAAGCATAGGGCCCACAGTTACCTCAGTGTTTAGTAGAGGGCCACTGGAAAAGTCTACCAAGTGGGCCTTCTCAGCAGGCAACATGGGTAGACAGGATCACTTAGTCTGTAAAGTTGGGAAAGGAGTCCCCAGAAAGGTACCTACACTCAATAGAAAGACCCATATACTGTAACCTGTATGACAGAATACATACACAACATCTCCCTCTAAAGGAACCTGCATGGGCATATCTATTAGGGGTAGGAAACTTTTCAGTCACTTAAATAGCTTAATAACTCAAGGGTAGAAGACTAAAACCAAACAGTCGAATAGGTGATGGGGAGGTTGGGAGGTGATGACCTAAATACCTTTAATCTAATGCTTCCTGCAAAACTGAAAATGAAGAAACTACAGCTGCATAAGATAACATAGATAAAAATAAGAAATATACATGGTGAATGAAGTGTGGCTTTCTAGGCTCAGGGAAATTTGTCTGGGGCCGGGGAGATGGCTCAGTAGGATAAGCGCTTGACTGGAAATTTGTCTGATGTCTTGTAAGGGTTAGGTGGCATGCGCTGTACACCAGGCACACTATCCCAAAAGTATGCAATAGGCATAATTTGTCTTCAGACAAATTAGATGCTATCATTGCAAAACTTGTTAGAATAATTTAAAACACAATGAGAAGTGAAAGGAGGCAAATGGTGTAAGTTAACACATGAAGATAATATATGAGCAAGCAAAAGACTGCATGACTTGAACTAAGTGTGTCCAGCACTCTCAAGTGTCCACACACCTTTTCTGTGTCTTCCTGCTGCCCTGGGCTTCCCACTGAGAACCAGAGCTGGAGCTGAAGCAAGGGGTCTGTCGCAGAAAAGCATCAGGCGTTCAGGACCCACATTTGCCCTACAAGGGAAACAGAGATGATTACGGTGGCCACCGCTCAGCTCATGAAAGCATTTCGCTGTTGGCAGGTGTCTCGTTGTGTTTCCTGAGCACATGGAGGCAAAACTGGCATCCTCCTTGGGTGGCTGACGTAATTCTTCCTGAATACTGAATGGGCAATATGGTGCTAGCAAACAGGCTCTCAAGGATTAAAAACCCGGATCAAGAGTGGTGACCAATTCCAGTGCTCTAGGCACTCCCACAGTGGCCAGTGTCAAGGAATTCCAGTTGCCTCACTGAGTTTAGAAGTAGGCAGAAGAGAGCACAGTTGAGATTTAGCAGTTTTAGCACACCGCCGACTGAATGTCTCATATAGCTATTGAGTGCTCAGGGACTCGACCTTTTGAGAAGTTTTGTCCCAAAGGGGAATAAAGAAATATTACAATACATGGATGGTATTATTAGGAGGTAGAATTTTTTGCTTTTGATTAGTGAAAATTTTAATTTTAACTTTTTATCTTTTAATTGACACATAAGAATAATACATATTAATGGCACCGTGTGATGTCCCAATACAGGTAAACATTGTATAATGTTCCAACTAGCCAGCCATAGCGGTTTCCTCAAATATTTATCATTTATTTTCAAAACCGTTTCTTCTAGCATTTTTGTAACATAGAATATATTATTATTGCCTAGAATCACTCCTCTATTGAAAAGGACACCAGAACCTATATTTTACTTTTATTTTGACCCATATGAATTCCATGTGGATGGCCAGGAGCCTAGACACAAGGAAGGGAGGAGGATGGAGGAGGGAGACCGAATTCTAGGCCTGGAGTAGACTGGATGAGACCAGAGACCACAAAAGATCTTGCTTGAATGCACACAGGAATCTGTCCCCCATAGTCATCAAAGCCCAGAGTCCAGGGAAAAGTGCAGACTAGATAAGCCTGCTGGTGGAAAAATGCTTGATTCCATCTTGTCCATGTGTGCTCCAGCATCAGGTGACACACTTTCAAACACTGCCTTCCTTTGTTATTAGCTCTGTAACCTTCAATACATTATTTAACTTTCCATTGTCTCTATTATCTCAAGGGAAAATTGGATTACAAGAGCTTAAAAGATATAACACAGGCTACAATTTAAATAGTGAGCCCATATAAATCAGAAAGAAAACATAAGAAACCACTATTTACACAGAAGAATAGGGGAAAACCCTAAGCAAAAGAATAAGCCTAGATGTCATTATGAGAAGCATCAAGATGGATGTTGTAAAGACAGCCACTGATTATGAGATTCAAAATAAACAAAGTCAAAATAGAAGAACCGCAGCCAGATGCTGGACCGATGGGTATTCACAGTCCATGAAGGTTCTGTAAGTGGAAGCAAAGATAAATGGCAACAAAACCAGAAAGGAACAAGGATCAACAGTTCACAAAAGAAATAAACTTCACAAGTAAACAGGGGGGACATGTCCAATTTCACTATAAAAAAGGAAACTAAACTGTTGCCTTTTCATTCATATTGAAAGAACAGTTTTTAAAATTTGGAGGATATTAGGATATTAGATGTCAAAAAGGAGATGAGGGAGAGGATATTTGTTGGCAGCTTTTTAGCAAGATAATTTAGTAGGATTTACAAAACTGAAGAGAGCATAGCTTTTGATATAGCAAGTCCATATCTGCTAAGTCTAATGTACAAAAACTATGCTTGTATTCATAAATGAGTAATTATTGTCTATGCTCAGAAGTAGTTAGAATCTGTGGTGATACTTACAAGACCAATTATTAAAAGAAAAAGAATGTCTCAAAACAAAATGATAGAAATATTATGATCCTGCATAATTGAAAATAACTCCCTTAATATATATCTATATGGGACCGGGGAGATGGCTCAGTGGAATAAGTGCTTCCATGGCAAGTACAAGGGCCTGAGTTCAATCCCCGGTTCCAC